AGGTCTGCCTAATCGCGACTGCTTATGCAGGTATAGTAGCTCTTCGTGCTGCTTATTGCCAAAAATGTTAGGCCTTTTTTACCAGGTATTTGCCCCGCAAATGGCGGCATGAACGATCAGATCCGTCAAAAGTTCTTGGACGTTCACAACGAGCTAAGGTAAGAGATCTAATGAGAAGAATTTTTTGCTTTCTACGAGTTCACATCTGATGCATGCAGATCGCTGGTGGCTAATGGAAAAGCTAAAGACGGTTATGGAGGTTATGCTCCTAAAGCTGCTGCCATGAACAAATTGGTATTTTCTCTGACAACATTGATGATAGGCAGCAAGTGGTAGCGAGATATTCCAGAAGTACGATTGCGATGTGGAGAAATACGCTGTGAAACACGCTGCTAAATGTGTCTTCCAGCACTCAAATACTGAAGATCTTGGAGAAAACATCTACATGCGCGGCTCAGCGTACGACCCAGTAAAAGCTGCCGAAGATGTGAAAAATGCCATTTTGCTTGTCGCTCAAAGAAAGCAACTCGTTTCTATCATTACAGGCTTCAAGATCATGGTTTGGGGAGCTCGCACAACGCGGAGTTGGCAAAGACCTCACGTTCAGCATGAAACTCTTCAACAATAAAGTTGGACATTACACACAGGTGAAAACAGTACTGCATTCCCATCATCGAGAATACAATATCCAAGTTCTTCCTACAAAGCCACCACCACCCCGCACCCAAGAAGCAGTCGCAGCACTAGATTTGCGCCAACGCAGATGAACTATGCCCTTCCCACATAATGCGCTTGCTTTGCGCCATCTTGAAAGCTTCTCAATTACGTTAAAGAGTCTTTGCCTACTTGTTGTTAGTAGCAGAAATGATCTCAGACAATATCATGGTTTCTTAAATACATAGATTTAGATGGTCTGGCAGTCTACAAAAGTCATTGGTTGCGCTGTTCAAAGCTGCCCAAGGATGACCTTAGCAGTCTGCAATTATAAAGAAGCGTAAGTAGAGTCGCTTCAATAAGCCACCAACAAGACTTCAATTTTAGAGGAAACATGCTCAATGCCAAAATCTACGAAACAGGTGCACCATGCTCGAAATGCCCAGGAGGATGCTCTGAAGGTCTATGCATCGTTTAAAATAGAAACTCGCAGAATAAACTTCAAATGATGCATAGCAACGTATGAGTGGAGTTTCACATGAAACGAAATCACAAATGATTATCTACACAACCACGCAAAAGAGTGGTTTAGAACATAACCACAACTAATAACAACATCTGTAGTTCCTTGTTAAACTTTAGTCAATTTAATAAGATATAGAAGTCATTTTCTGCGCAAAAGTCAATCTGAATGAGCTATCGAAACCTTTAAAAATTCAATGAGATACACGAGGTGTTCTCTACAATGATATTTTTGCATATACGTTTCTGTTCTTAAAGCAAATTACATGGTCTTAGTACCGTAATCTTTATCTGAATTCCTTTCGAATGGTATCCCGATGACGCTTTCAAGAGTCTTCCAAAAAAATGCTTATGTACCTACCAAGTTTCATGATGTATGGTCATCTGTGCTCTGCAAACGAGCCATTTGAATTTACTTCTTCATTTACCAGTTTTGCAATATTTTTGGAAAAAATGCTTATTACACCTCCCACTCACATACACTTTTCATAATATTACAAACTTTGTTTCTACTAGTCTCTATTCGTGCGCTTACGGCATTACAATTTACATATACTTTAGATAAGCCCTGCTACTGCTGTGCGGAATCTGGTGTTATCTTATAAACTGCGGATTTTCTTATGATTTTATGTATGGTAGCAAAAAATGAGAAAAGGGGGGGGGGGTCGTATTTGCGCCTGATCCAAATTTCTTCGGAGCTATTGAAGCTTGTTAGCTGCAAACTTGCTGTAATACGAGGCCATCCTTCCAGTTTTTATCATAAGAATATCAGGCTGTTTTATAAATTCTCTGGTAAGTCACAAAACTTTGAGCTCAAAAATTCCAGTTTTTGCTTATTAGGATCGCATCTAAATTTGCGAGAGCCTGATTTGAATTTTTTCGAGCTCACTGCTCCTCATGGGCTGAAACTATTTCTGTGAATAGGCACTATGCTACAGAACCTGTTCTTTGCAGCCTCTCAGTCTTTTCCTGGCCTTAGATTTCGATTTTCCCTTCCGAAAACAAAGACGATATCCAGCTTGTCATTTGCCCATCGTGCCGGGCCCTGTTCAGGACTTCGAAACTTTATTTTTGGTCCTTCTGGACGAGCTAATCCAAAACTACCGTATGTCCACAAATTACATTGCTAAATTGAAATTTCTCAAAAGAAAAAAAATTCGGTTGCAATTTTCAAGAAATAAGGATTCTTCTTCCTTTAGCCTATATTTTCCATCCATTTAACTTATCAGTTCCAAGATAGCCGAAAAGGAAGAAGGTGTCATTTAACTTCGCTAGGAAGGAAAGTGGTAACTCTAGATAGCTATTGAGCTAATCTTTATAAAAGGCCTGCACGCGTTCACCTGCCTCTTCGAATACGAGGTAAAGGAAATTCATCGACGACTGCCCCGGCTCGTGCAACTACACCACCTTGTGCGTGCTTTTTCGGAGCCTTTCCAGCTTGACAGTACGCTGCGGCGCGCAGGGACTTAGTAGCTCGCAGCATCCCTGTCCTTTAACCTCTTTCGTTTGCTGAGCTTTTCACATCGTTTTTTCTTCTTTCAGTCATTCTTTCTAATGTCTATGTGAGCCGGGTGAGTGTCTTTTATGAGGAATTCCGAGATGCGAGGTGTGAAGTCTCGCACCTCCGCGTCTTGCATACTGTAGAAGGAGGGGGAAGGGGACTTTTCATACGACTGCTCCCACATTATTCTGACCTTTTGGCAGGATCCAATATTGACACTATTAGGCTTGGGCCAGCTGGCTCCCAGAAAAATGGCTATTTCAAAAAGTTTTGCATTACTGCGAAATCAGGAAGGAGAATTCGGAGGCAGTATGAAGTTGAAAATTTTCTTTTCGCTGTGAAAATTCATTTTTCATTTGAATCATCCGTAGTTTTTTTTTGTGAAAAAACACTCTTCATGAAAGAATGGCTACGTTACGGTTAGGCCTCGGTCAGAGTTCATGCGATTTCCGCGATTCCTCAACAAGACAAACAGTTGGGGCTTCATTGCATTCCGACCATCTTGCATTTCGGTTGTGATAGTTAGTCACGATTGGAAAGCTATCACAACCATAGCAAGATGATCTAATGCAATAGACTCAAAACTGTTTGTTTTGTTGGAAGAATCGCGGCGGTGAAATTGCGTGAACTCTGCACGAGCCCTTTGACCATACTGGATTCATTGTAAAATTTGCTTCTGATATAACTCTCGTACATCTCCTAGTTCAGGAAATTATCCTTGCCTTTGTTTCAACTTTATCATCACAGAAAAAGCTAGCTCAATCTGAGAACAAATTCGTAGCAGAAGTTGAATTTTGACCAAAATTCTCTTTACGGAATTTTCACCAATTTATTGAATCGGGATACTTCGTTTTTGCAAATCCTTAATTTGTGAAATATCAAATAGGGTCTTTGCGACCTTTGAGCATGACCTGGAAGAAAAAAGAAGTAAAGGTGTTTCGAATTTGCTTCTGAACATTGAAAAATATGATTGCATCAATTATATGCCTTACAGACATTTATCTAACACACTTTTCAATAAAGATTTTCCTATCGTTGTAATCGATAACTGGGTAATATAAGCATTCTGGCATGTCTTCAAAAGGTCAAGTGATCAGAAATTCTTCGCATAAAAAGTCCCCTCCCCGCCCTTTCCCAGCCGTAGTGGAGAATCTCTGACTCACTGCATGGGTCGAGAAGGCGAAGTAGGTGTAGGGTACGAGCGAACTGGGTGCGAAGTCCCCGATCTTATGAAAAGCCCCCTCCGATGTGAGCCCATCGCCGAAGGCAAATTTGAGAGAGCGAATGAGCTTTCTTTGGAGTTCCAGTGGGGGAATCATGGCTATGATTGAAATTGCATGTTTTCGTCAATGTTTTATAAAAATTGGCATTTTTCTTAGGACAGATCACTGAAGGGGTTACTTCAGCATTCCTACATCGTTGACACCATGAATGCTGTAATAAATAAATGAGCGATCTCATCTACGATGAATGCATGATAGCCACCACTGCTTTTGAATAAAGCACACTCTTTCACCTAATTTTGCCCGGGGTGTTGATTCAAGATCTTGAAAATGAGTTTTTGGTAGGTAGAAAGGGTGAGGAATCCAGTAAATGTACCTGAATTGATTTTTTGCTTACCTCTCAGTAATCATCAAAGGAGGAGGTAGGATCTCTTAGGTCCTCTCGATTTGTTCATCGAGAGGACATAAGAGAAAAGAAGAACAAATGGCTGCCTAAGTTGTAAAAACTAAGAAGAAAAACTGTGCAAAATGCTTAAATTGACAAAAGAGGTTAAAGGACAGTGCTGCTACGAGCTACCAAGTCCCCGCGCGCTGCACGTACTGTCAAGCTGGAAAGGCTTCAAAAAGGCACGCCCACAGTGGTGTAATTGCACGAGTCGAAGCAGTCGTCGACGAATATCCTTTAGGAATCGGTCATACTATTCCAATGATTCCTGCTATTTTTGCTATTCCTGTTATTTCTGTGATTCCCGCACAGTTTAGGCGCCGCTTAAATGAGCACGTGTTGCGTGATGTGTTGTTTTACGCAAAAACGCGCTCATTTAAACGGCGCTAAACTGTGCGGGAATACAGGAATTGCAGGAATCGCAGGAATAGCAGGAATCACTGAAATAGTATGGCCGATCCATAAACGTGTGGAGCATATTACCAACTACTTCCCAGATTTTGAAAACAATTATTCGCTTGCTGAGGTTGACTTGAAAAATTGTCTTACGACAGAAAACTGAATGTGGAATCTCTGTGATTCTATATTGAATACCACAAGGTTTTTGAATGTTGATGCATCATAGGAATCTACAGCAGGTTAAACTTACGATTAGTGTTCATGATACCATAAATTTTTGAGAGTATGAAAAAGAAACGAGTGCAAGTAAGTAGGCAATCCCCTGAATGGAAAAAGCTTCTCAAAGAGGTCTCAGTTACGGTATTTATGACCTGCATGTTGCTACAGTTTACTATTATAATTCTTTTGAATCAAGCAACTAGCAAGCATCATTTTTCACATACATACAAAGAAGATAGGTAATTATTTTTGGCAGTGGATTTTTTTGTTGCATTCTCTTTACCCTCGTTTTAGAAAAGCTGGATTAATTTCACCAAGCTTGGATTTTCTACATGCTGAACACAGCTTCGCAGCCACTGTACTGTTCGGCGTATCATTTGAAGTGCATCACTAACAACAGTAGCTGCCGCTTGTCATCTCCAGGGAAAGGCGAGGGTTGCCAAGCGTTTTCGTACTTACTCGGCAAGGTAATTCGCAAACGCAACCAGCTGGCGGGCTCATCGGTGACGATGCGCAGCCTGCGGTGCCTCCCCGCCAATTTTTGTACAGGCTCCACATGGGGCCGGAGTAGGGGATAGCGCTATGAAAGCTTGTGCAGAACTTTGCATTAGTTCACAATCGCAAATGAATTCCGGGGAAAATCGAACCTCTTAGTGGACGCTCCTATTGGGCCGTGTGGGTGGGCTTGCCCTACCTGGCCCCGCGCTGCGTGGCAGCTCCAATAGGAGTGTCCCCACGGAAATTTTGAAACTTCAGTTTTCCCCGGAAGTCGTTTGCGATTGTCTGAGAGATTGTTGTTGAAGATTAAGAAAGTGTATACGAGATTCTCAAATTCAGAAAATCTTCGCTTTTCTATGGTTACGATTTGTTTATTGAGGTTGAATCACTTTACAAAACGTAAAAGATATTGTAAACAAGGAATACAATCATGTTTATTGAGGAAACTTAGACAGAGCTGCACTGTGAAAAGCTACTGAGGCTATAAGCAAAATTGCAGTAAATTATATAGAGCCAATAACTGCGCTTGAGAATCTAAACAATACTCTATCTTTTCGTCATTTTTCAGGAAAATCGCAATTTTTCGGAATCCTTCAATCAGCACAAAATTCGCCTACAATTATTTACAAACATCTCAAAATTAGAATACCGATCGCTCCGAAAGTTCCAAATTTTTGGCGATACACACGGAAATCCAAATTGAGTTTTCCACTACTGTTTCCTAATGTATGCGTAGTAAACAGCTGCTTAGGCGTCGTTACAGAAATCGTGATTATTTCCTCCTTCGGTTTCGAAAGATCGGGCAAATCCTTTGAAAAAGCCGAAAAATTAAATTTGTCAAATCGGTGCGGCAGAGCTTTCGACTTGACCTAAGGGTTGAAGATTACGTGATTGAAAGTATCAAAATGATAATTCCATCTTTTCATAATATTTCATCGGTTTTGATTTATGTTTACATTATAAAACCAAATTTATACATTTTTATACATATGAATTGGTTTTTATGTCTGTGAATGATAATCGAAGAAATTTGACATGCAATCATTACAGAGGAAAAACAATGATATTGACGTTTCTTTGATATTAATCTTGAAAAATTACGATAATCATGAAATAGCTCAGTGTGCGCACTGGAAGTTCAGCGATATCGAAACAAAAGAGCACCTTTTGAGGCGCAAATAAGAAAACGGAAAAGGAAAGCGCAAAAATGCATCAAAAGGGAAGACTTTACGAATTTGACAGCTGGCCCATTTTTTTATGAATCTTGGAATCTGAATGCTCTTCAGCAATCATTAAAATCATGCTGGAAGCTAGAACAAAGTTTAAGATCTCAATGACTGTAATCCACAAAATACTTATTTTATTTCCTTTCGCTTGCTTGATCGTCAATTGTTGCAACGAGGTTGAAATTTTATTTATTTTTATAGAGATTTTCCACAGATATTTTAGAGAATTTCACTTTTGAGTTGAGATGTGAATTTCCCCATGCTGAACATAATTTCGCATCCCGCGCGTTGTTCGGAATAGCACAAAGGGCGCAGTGTTCAGCAAAGTACGTGGTGCTTGTCATTTCCAGGAAGTGACGAGGGGTGCCAAGCACTTTTTGCGATCAACCAAAATTCAAATAGAAGACAAGTAACGGACCCATCCGGAATGGTCCACCCTTGCCTCCCTGTCGATTTTTAAAACCGTCCCGCGCGGAACTTCACTGAGAGATTCTTGCAAAAGAAAATAGTTTTCAAAAAGCAAAGAAGCATACGAGTTGGCCGAGCATCCTATGGTTGCAAGTGCTTTTTTATATCGATACAGCTTCTGAGAAAATAAATGCTGTGATTTGATCGTATAAAGTTTATTTCAATGAAAGAGGCCCAGCGAATAAATTAAAAGTTAATGCAAAAATCTCAACTTTTCACACTAGTGTTTAACACAATTTATTTCCTCTGCAAAGTCTCTAAAAAAATTTTGAAGTTCTTGCACTGTAGAACAGATTCGTAAAAAGCTCCACCAAATTAATGTATTAATGTTCAATCCCACGTAAGTTTCAGCTTAAAAATGTTTTGAACCTCGCGAAAAAGTATAAAGTTATGACAAAGGTCGTGCAAGTTTCGGCCATCACTGAATTCTTCGTTGATGACGTGCTATCGCAGAAATCTCAGGAGTGAGAAGTCCGAAACTCATTACCTTTAGAGTAGCTTTTAAGTCTAAATTTAGTCAATGCAATAGTGTCGGGAAATGCATGCATTGCCCATTTTTGATATAGTTTGAGCTCATAATCAAAGGCGGTCTGGGCACGCTAAACGTAAATTAAGTGAAGATGAGGCTGCGAGGTTGTGCCTGATTTTACTGGCTTTGTCTTCAATTCAGATTTTTCAACTAACTTTTATATCATTCATCAACTTCATAGTCTGCGATGGGTGTTTGAGCTTACATCGACTCCTCTGGGCTTTGTGATGGTCTACGGATGAAAGCACAGAAGGTGAAAACGCGATGGCGGGTGACGACGGTTTTTTTTACTAATTTTTCGTAACAGCGACAGAAGCGAAAATCTAGCATGGATTAAGGAGCAGGGCTAGAAACAGTGGCTGTAAGCAAGCTGAATACCGTTTTTGGGACAAAGAGCAAAGAGGTATTGCTTTTGAGGCCGAGAAAACTAAATCGGGAATTTTTCAATCGACATTTCGTTTTTAAGGGTTTTTTTACGGTTAGGGTTTAGGATCAAAGCGATGTTCGTAAAAATTCGCAAAAGTCAAGGGGGACTTCGTTTCTTGCAATTTCCAAATGCTACCTCGGGCGAGCCCTATTAAGGAGGATTCATGCTTTTGGGTTTTTACTAAATGCGGAAGATTGAAGCACTGTTTTATAGAGCCCATAAGGTCTATAATGCTAGTGAGCCAAATTGTCTATTCTACTTATAATGCATGTTATCTTTGCTTTTTGACTATCCAATCCAGCGCTTAACAGAGAAGCTTTCGAGGCTCAAAGCATGTTCCTGGCTCGATGTATGGCCGTATTATGAAACTTATGAAACATCCTTTTTTTTTCTCATCCTTCCCGGAGTTCGAACATTTCTGCTCTCAAATCGGCCATTTTTAAAACAGCAAACTGATTGGATGAAGGAACGTCATAGCTCAATTGAAACAGGAAGAAAGATTTTTTAGATGGCGAGGCTTTTATGACACTCTTTTTATCCGATAATAAAATCTGGCATTGAAACTTGTCAAGTTGATTTCTGGACACATGATAGTGAAAAACACAGTTTTATTTGTCTTTTCGTTGTGATACAAAGTCGAGAAAAGCAGCAATCTTTTAGCAAGCTTGAGCGTGCACATATGACGATCTTCTTGAAAAATTGGTTTCTTATAGAAGTGTGAACCAACAACTATTCCTTTTCTTCCCTATCTTTTCGAAGCGCATGCTCAAGTTTCACTAGTTCTTCTCCTCAAACTTCAACATTCATCATTTTGGCTTTTAGTCTGTTATCTGATAAATAATCTCCCGTGATTTTTCTCTGAGGAGAGCCGAGGGTGATCTAGGCTTTGGAAATCCCATAGATCATAAGAGCTTATGAGCACAAAAAATTATGACGGGTAGTTGGTAAAATTGCAGATTCTTGCCAATATCTTCCAGGGAGTTACGAATAAGTCTATATGGTTATCCCTTGAAAAATCACTTTTTTGATTTCATAATCTTACTGTCGTTCTGTCCATAAAGAAACGATTACGTTTTTGATTGTATACACACTAGCTTTGTCTATATGACTAACCGCAGTTAAATCTTTGAAACTTGCGTTTCTGTAATCAAAAATGTAGAATTTTCTGACACTCGCTAGAAGTCAATTTTTGGGAATCAAGTCGCTTGACTGGACCATCTATGACCACGCAAAGGTTGGAATCCTAATTAAATGTGTGTATCACTTATCCTTCTACTATGGACCGTAGTTTTTTTTAAACAAAACTTTTGGCATTGGTGAAGATCCGGCTTCCTGCTTTTCTGCGCCATTCTAGTACCTAGTAAAAAACATTTCCTTCGAGCACGATTGATTATCTAACTATTGATTAGTCTACTTTCTTCCCAGTGATGCCATACATCCATACCGAAATATTGCTTGTGAGGTTTCTACAAATTCAAAAAACGGCCAGAACATTCTAGCCAGCGTCATTCGAATAGTTCAAATTTATTTGGAAAACTCGAAAAAGCTTTGCACTTTTGTTGAAGAGCTCGATATCTAACAGTGTGCTGTACTATTTTGTTCCTTTTCAAATTTCCTTTCAATTTCTTCAGATGATTTTTTTCGTTTTTTTGAGCGGTACTTGCACCTATTTTTGCTCCTATGGTTTGTTGTTCTACACAAATGAACAGTGTGATCCTTCTTCTTGCCGTTTATTCACACAGCGACTAAGGGTGCACTGATGCCAAGGTCCGATAACGCTACTCAGTCTCTTTGTTTATGCAAGTCAAAGAAGAATATGACCTTTGCCGTTGAATTAAAAAAACTCGCGGTGAAGCGTATCTGCCATACATTCAGTACAGGTTTATTTGCTGGTTATCTAAGGAACGAAGCAAAATTTCTCGGTAGAAAATTGAACTGAGATGAAGAGTAGTAGAGAAATATGGGAGAGGTCCTATCACCAATAAAAATCGAAACCTAAATTTTTTTGGAAGCGTGTGACGCACCAAAAATATTTACAGTACTAATGAATTCAATAGTGAAACTCCCATATTTTTGAGACTATAATGAATGACTAAGACTATAATGTTCAATTAAGTGCATTAAATAACTTGTCAGTTTATGAACAAACCGGGAAAAAATTCTTGCGGGAAAAGATGATGCCCTCTATGAGTTATATTTCCCTATCTGGAAGTTCACCAGCATTTCTCATATACGAATTAGAAGAG